GTTTCCCTTTAAGGTCAGTCTGTTTCTTGGTTATTTTATATTCTCAATTTCAATTACTTGTTCCAAAGTCTCTTTATCCGATCTTTGATGTTTATTTGTATTCGATCTGCATGGTTTTAGATAGAGCAAATACCGTTGTTTGTCGTCCTTGATTGTTGTTGTGATTGCTACAGTTTTTTTTTATTGTTGTAATCGGTCTGTTCTTTTCCTGTCGTTTCTTAAGATCTGGTCTAAGATATCACTTAAAGATGTAGCTCTGACAAGATCTAAACATACTTGTTGATTGTAATCTTGATATTATACAAGTATTAGTGTGAATCAGAATGTTTTATTTTTTGTTCTCTTGTTATATCCTATGAAAACATTAGTCTATTGTGTGTAAGATTTGTGCCGATATATATTGTTGAATCTACGATTATATTTCCTAGGATACAACTGTTCTTACTGTATCTCTAATCGTTTTGTTTCATTTTTTTCTGTGATTGCAGATATTTTGTTGGTGTCAAGTAAAACTTATTCAAAATGGTAAGCCTTGTTTTGAACTTTATATCCCCATTCTTTTTTTATTGTAAAGATTCTAAAGCTGAAAATATATTATTATTTTTATGAACTTGCAGGTGAAGTTCACAGCTGATGAGCTTCGTAGGATTATGGACTACAAACACAACATCCGTAATATGTCCGTTATTGCCCATGTCGACCATGGTAACTCTCTTCATCCTTTAATTTTTTACTGCTCTTTGAGGTGTTCTCTTTTGAAGTGTGCTTAAGCTAATATCTAATTTTTATTTCTTGTCCGATAGGTAAATCTACCCTCACTGACTCCCTGGTTGCTGCTGCTGGTATCATTGCCCAAGAAGTGGCTGGTGATGTTCGTATGACTGATACTCGTGCTGATGAAGCTGAACGTGGTATCACTATCAAGTCCACTGGTATTTCTCTCTACTATGAGATGACTGATGCTTCCTTGAAGAGTTTCACTGGTGCCAGAGATGGAAACGAGTACCTTATCAATCTCATCGACTCTCCTGGGCACGTTGACTTCTCTTCTGAGGTCACTGCTGCTCTCCGTATTACCGATGGTGCTCTTGTGGTCGTCGACTGTATCGAGGGTGTCTGTGTTCAGACCGAGACTGTGCTTCGTCAGGCTCTTGGTGAGAGGATTAGGCCTGTCTTGACTGTGAACAAGATGGACAGGTGTTTCCTTGAGCTTCAGGTTGACGGTGAGGAGGCTTACCAGACTTTCCAGAGGGTCATTGAGAACGCTAATGTCATCATGGCTACGTATGAGGATCCTCTCCTTGGTGATGTTCAGGTCTACCCTGAGAAGGGTACTGTGGCTTTCTCTGCTGGTCTCCACGGATGGGCTTTCACACTTACCAACTTTGCTAAGATGTACGCTTCCAAGTTCGGTGTTGATGAAACTAAAATGATGGAGAGGCTTTGGGGTGAGAACTTCTTCGACCCTGCCACCAGGAAATGGAGCAGCAAAAACACTGGTTCCGCCACTTGCAAACGTGGGTTTGTCCAGTTCTGTTACGAGCCCATCAAGCAAATCATTGCCACTTGCATGAACGACCAGAAGGATAAGTTGTGGCCTATGTTGCAGAAGCTTGGTGTTCAGATGAAGTCTGATGAGAAAGAGCTCATGGGTAAGCCTTTGATGAAGCGTGTCATGCAGACATGGCTCCCCGCAAGTACTGCTCTACTTGAGATGATGATCTTTCACCTTCCTTCTCCCCACACCGCACAGAGGTATCGTGTTGAAAACTTGTATGAAGGTCCCCTCGATGATCAGTATGCCACTGCCATCAGAAACTGTGATCCCAACGGTCCTCTCATGCTCTACGTTTCTAAGATGATTCCCGCCTCAGACAAGGGTAGATTCTTTGCCTTTGGTCGTGTCTTTGCTGGTAAGGTGTCTACTGGTATGAAGGTCAGGATTATGGGTCCCAACTTTGTTCCTGGTGAGAAGAAAGACCTGTACGTCAAGAGTGTCCAGAGAACTGTCATCTGGATGGGTAAGAGGCAAGAGACGGTAGAAGATGTTCCCTGTGGTAACACTGTTGCTATGGTTGGTCTTGATCAGTTCATCACCAAGAATGCTACCCTAACCAATGAGAAAGAAGTTGATGCCCACCCTATCCGTGCAATGAAGTTTTCCGTCTCCCCTGTTGTCCGTGTTGCTGTTCAGTGCAAGGTGGCCTCTGACCTTCCCAAACTTGTTGAAGGACTCAAGAGGCTGGCCAAATCAGACCCTATGGTTGTGTGCACAATGGAAGAGTCAGGTGAGCACATCGTTGCTGGTGCTGGAGAACTCCATCTTGAGATTTGTCTAAAGGATCTTCAGGATGATTTCATGGGTGGTGCTGAGATTGTGAAGTCAGACCCTGTTGTCTCCTTCCGTGAGACTGTCCTTGAGAGATCCGTCCGTACTGTGATGAGCAAGTCCCCTAACAAGCATAACCGTCTCTACATGGAAGCAAGACCCTTGGAGGACGGTCTAGCAGAGGCTATTGATGAAGGCCGCATTGGTCCAAGAGATGACCCTAAGATCCGATCCAAGATCTTGGCAGAGGAGTTCGGCTGGGACAAGGATCTTGCAAAGAAGATTTGGGCGTTCGGACCTGAAACCACAGGGCCTAACATGGTTGTCGACATGTGTAAGGGAGTTCAGTACCTTAATGAAATCAAGGATTCAGTTGTTGCTGGGTTCCAGTGGGCGTCCAAAGAAGGTCCTCTGTGTGATGAGAACATGAGAGGAATCTGCTTTGAGGTTTGTGATGTGGTGCTCCATTCTGATGCTATCCACAGAGGTGGTGGTCAGGTTATCCCAACAGCGAGGAGGGTTATCTACGCCTCCCAGCTCACTGCCAAGCCCAGATTGTTGGAGCCAGTTTACATGGTGGAAATCCAAGCACCAGAGGGAGCTCTTGGAGGAATCTACAGTGTGCTGAATCAGAAGCGTGGACACGTGTTTGAGGAGATGCAGAGGCCAGGAACACCGCTGTACAACATCAAGGCGTACTTACCGGTCGTGGAGTCATTTGGATTCTCGAGTCAGCTTAGGGCAGCAACCTCAGGACAGGCCTTCCCTCAGTGTGTGTTTGATCATTGGGAGATGATGTCTTCTGATCCTCTGGAGGCAGGATCGCAAGCTTCAACGCTGGTTGCTGACATCAGGAAGAGGAAGGGCATGAAGGAGCAGATGACTCCACTGTCTGACTTCGAAGACAAGCTATAAGCTGCAGCTATCCTCTTTTATCTCACTCGCTACTCTTGGTCACTTTTGACCTCTCTTTGCCGTGTTTGTTCTTGTTTTACTATTTTTGGTATTACGATGGATTTTGATGACTTGATCTCTCGCCATCCTGCTCTGGTGTGTTACTTGTAGTTGAGAACTGCTTTTATTTATGTGTTCGCATATATTTTACTCTTTCACTCTTTTCTTCTGTTTTCTATGAGATTATTAATATCTGCTATCTGGATTCTTGATGCTTGTATCCATGCCAACAAGCCCTTTCGTTGATTCTTACAGGGGAATATAGATTGCATAGGTTATTGTTATGTTTCAAAGATTGTGTTATTTTGTTATTGGAAACGTCGAACACGGTAGACAACACTGAACAATCGAAGAGAAGAATACGCGTCCCTTGGTAGTTGTGCATTCAATGTGGTTGTAACAGTAGAAAAGAATAGATCTCTCTCTAGATTACGTAAATATAAAATAGTCATGCTGCTGCGTTTTGGACTGTGTCTAGTTCTAAGGTGTCTCTGATTCCCTAGAGAGGTTTGTCTATTATGTTTGATTCTTGTATTCTGACTACATTCTCTAGCATTTGTCTTTTGGCTTTACTCGTTTTTTGTAGTTATTTTTGTCTACAAGAAAAAAAAAAACAAAACAAAAGGCAGCAAATTCAGTTTCTTGCATCTGTTTCTGTCAATTCACATAAAATTCTCAATGGCAGTCTCATGAGATTGCTTGTTTCTTTTTGTAAAAAAAGATGAGATTGCTTGTTCATAGAGCACTAATACGTCTCATCTTTTGTTTTAACTTTAGTTCAAAAAAAAATATCTTTTGTTTTAATAACAAATTAGATTCTGACCTGCACGTCCACGCGGGTGTTAATTATTCGATTAGTTAATCCTGTGATTATAAATGTCTATTTACCTCCTTATAACGAAGAGTAAATGTAGTTAATGTAAAAAAAAAAAAATGATACTAAAAAGATACTAGTTTAAACAATTTTCCAAGGAAAATTTATGTTTTAGAGATAAAAAATGTATAATACTCAGAAAGTTTATGTTAATAACAAAAACAATCAAAACATTAATATCATAACATCCAATAGATCATATATCCATAAAATATAGTAAAATGATATGATAGATGCAATATGTATAAAATAAACTAAAATAATAGGATTAAATTAATTAAACTGAATAATGTAAATACTTATAAAATCCTGCAATTTACTAAAATAACATATGTTAAAGTATACTTTAAACACAATATGAAAATATAAATGTTCCTAAACAAATATTTTGTTATAGTATAACTAAATAAATTTTCAAAATGTATGGAAACTTTAGAAACTAAAAAAAAATTGAAAGAGATTCCATATTTTTTATTTTATATTAAGAATTTATTGTATCGAACTCAAAATGTAATAATAATTAATAATAAAATAAAATATATAAAACAAATCATTATATATTAATAATATCGAGGCATTTAAAAAAAATTAGTTATCTTTTAACAGAGATTGCACTCATATTATATCAGACTATCAATAGAAGTATTTTATCACCTCTATTACAGCAACAGTTTACCAAGAAGCATTATCAAACATCGAAGAGCATTATCACCTATATATACTACATTGTCACTGATCAAATCCGGATAAACCTAATCGAATCAGACTTTCTTAAAAGGAAATGATAAAAGCTACATAGCACCCGAGAGATGATCAAGATTCAAGACTCAATGCATGTGTTTCTCACTGTGAGTTGCTTATGTCATTGGCTACCGTTACCATCATTTGATCAGCCCCAAGATTTGCATCCTGTAAAGACAGATCCATATGTTCTTATGACAAAACGGTAAGCAAAAAAATAATATTTGGTCAAAACAAAGGATGTTTGCTTACTTCATTCTTATTTACCGCAATATTTTGGGCTGTTTGAGGAGCTCCTCTGGATAAGTCTCTAAGAGCACCCTAAACATTATAATTGTAGTCATTAGACAGAAACATCAATGAATCAAAAGAGCTATAAAATGAGCAAGACAGTTGAGAGAGAGAGAGAGAGTTGATCAGTTAAGCATCAAGTGTAAGCTTGCCTTGTTTGCCCACATAAGTCCACATGCATTGCAAAGTGTTCTTGGCCCTTCAGGTCCACGCCGCATCATTGGAGTTGACTTCTCCCCGATTCCACAGTGTCGACATCTTACACATAACCATTCCAAGGAAAGAAAAGTCAGATATGTTATCTTAATCAAATACTAGTTCATCACACCTCTCTACACTAAGTTAGTTCAGGTTAAGTAGTTAAAAGAATGTATCAACAACTTACGAGATTTCTTGATTCTGAGCCTCGCTACCTTCTATAGCCCATGTTTCATTAGGCCCCCAGTTAGATCCAGCAGTTGGAGCTTCACCATTGCTGGACTTGGCAGATGTGAACTGACCTTTATTGCGTTGCATCCTGTCACACACACAAAAACATTTAAGGCGCAATCTCAAAAATGAATGTATAAAACTGAACCAAGTTTTTGATTTAGACATAAGTGTACCTCAAAGCTACCTCCTTGCGAACTGTATACCGAATCTTCTTATCAAAGTTCCTCTCTTTTCGTTTCTCTCGGAATCTGACCAAAGAAGCTAACCGCTGTGGCATACTGAACCTCTGAGGAGTACCAGGTAGTCCCTGTTTCATTGATTAATCAGCAACGCACTGACGCACACTAAGGTTTAAGAGATGGTTCTAACTAAAAGGGAGCTCTTTCTGGAGCTTATATCATGCACCAAAAAATGGTACCAAATCTTACCAAAACTCTATTGTTCTGATGAGATGCTCCTAAGCCTGTAGGGGGTGCCTGAGGTACTTCACGTCCACCCAATAATAGAAGCACAGCTTGAACCTGCAGCAGATGCACTGTCACTAATAGTAAAAAAAGAAAAACAGATTAAAAATGTAAGGAGAGAATCAAAGAACCAACTCAGTAACAACTTAAAATCACCTTTTCAGGCAAGACGCTGTCAAAAACATAGACTTGGCCCTGAAAGGACAACGTCAACTGATCTCCTTGTTCACTACCACGGTCGACAACTTCACCACGATTGTCAGTTATGTTTCCAGGGTGAGAAGGAACGTCTGTTTCAACTCCCTCACTCATCGCACCACCATCAGCATGATCATCCACCATATGGCTTCCATTGTGGATGTGTTGCAAATCATGATGTCCATAGTGGACATGATGCATTGGATCTTGCGCTTCTCCAATGTGCATCCGTCCATTGCTTCCATGAAGTTCATCATCATCCATGGTTGCTTTTCATCAATTTTAACTGACTGTTAACATGAAACCAAAACAAACTTGCATTATAAAAAAGGAAACTTTCATACACATTAAACAACCCAAGGTTACATGAAACAGAAAAAGGATTAGAACAAAGAAGAAGTCTATACAGAAACATATATATAGACTTTAAGCTTAAGGGAAGTAGAAGTATGGTAGCATCTTCTCAAGTGACAACAACCCAAAAAAACCTTAACTTTGAACCTAAACATAAACTTGGATCAATCAAATCCAACCAAAGACTCTAGCTTTACACGTTTTAAGCCTTACACAATAAACCCTAAGAAAGAAAACCAAATCCTGTAACAAAAGCTACCAACAACGAGTACCCACTTGAGACTAAGCTTTCTCATTTCCGACAAGAGAATCTGGATAACAGTTCGGATGAGTTTTACCTATTCGTGGAACCAACACCGAGACAGAACAGGAGATTTGAAGATGTCTGAAGACCCAACAAGCACGAACGAGAAACGGTGTGAAAGATGACAACTTGGGAGCTTTGGAAGCGATGAACAACGCCTGAGAGAGAGAGAAAGAGCGGTGAAATAAACCATTGGGGGTGTAAAGAGACTCAATTTATTAATTAATCGTCAAAACAATAAATAAAGAAAACTAATGGAGCAATAAATAAATAGTTTTATTCTTTTCTTTTCTTTCTGGTGTTTGTTGTTTCTTCGTCTTCGTCAACCTGGCTAAGCTCAAATCAAATCGGATCTATAATACTAACTTGGATTCTTATCTCTCTATCTGTTCTAAACTCATTCTCAGATCAGAGGATTCGAAAGTTTGAACCTTTACACTTTCTTCTTCCTCTGTTTCATGGAATCTGACTTCCCAATTCGTCTCTGTTTCTGTTGAGTGTTGAGATGGCGAGAGGTAGTAGATCGATAAGTGGTTCTGGGGTATGGAGATATTTGAATCCAGCGTATTATCTCAGAAGGCCAAAGCGTCTGGCTTTGCTTTTCTTTGTCTTCGTCTCTGTTTCTATGGTGGTTTGGGATCGTATCAATCTCGCCAGAGAACATGAGGTATGTTTTTTTCTTGTTCTCTTGATAGAATGAATCTAGACAGAGCTATGTCTTAGAGTAGCTAATGTTCGAGTCCTGGTATGGTTTTATTGACTTCATAGCTTAAGGTCTTCAAGTAAGAAAGGTGTCTTGTTTTGCAAGAAAAAGAACTGTAATTGATAGTTTTGAGATTTTATGGGGAAGAAACTATGTGCGTTTGATCGTTTGGCATCATCAAGCTAATGTAAAAAGTAATGACACTTTTTTTCAAGAAAGTGAATGATTCTCTTATGATCATCATTCTTCTGTGTTTTATAGACATTTCTAGCATCATAGCTTATTAATTGAATTCTATACAGCGGCTGGTTATGGTTTATTACCTTTGTAGCTTAAGGTCTAGAAGACTAGAAGTAAGAAAGGTGATTTGCTTATGATGCCACTTCATAGGGATTAGGGAAGATAGTGCCTTATTTTGCTAGAAAAACAACTATATGCCTTCTTTCATTTGCTTGAGTTAGGTCAAACTGCTATTAAAAGGGATGATACTTTTGTTTCAAGGAAGTGAATGATTCTCTTGTGATCATCCTTCTGATGGGTTTAACAAAGTTTCTGTCTTGTTTCAGGTTGAAGTTTTAAAGTTAAGTGAAGAAGTTTTACGGTTGGAGCAGATGGTAAGATTGATGTTTCCCCTCTCACTCTATTGTCTTCAGTGATTTCTTTGGTTTTTCTCCGTGGTTTTAATTTTTTTGGAAATATGCATAATCGTTATTATCAGCTGTTTATCTAACTAAGTAATATATTCTGCTAGTTAGAAGAGCTTAAAGGTGTTGGCAATAGTAAAACTTTGATGACTCAGAAGGATGTTCCAGAAAATCCAGTTGATATTGAGCGAAGGCAGAAAGTAAAAGAGGCAATGATCCATGCTTGGAGCTCTTATGAGAAGTATGCTTGGGGAAAAGATGAGCTTCAGGTATAGAGATTTATAATCCAAATGTTGGTCAATACATAGTCTAGTCACTTTGGGCTCTACAAATCTAAATTAAGCATGACATTTGATACCTCCTCTTCCAATGTTTGTATTGACATTAGTTTCTTCCTTGCTCTGCAAAATAAACTTTTGGTCTTAAGTTATTCTTGTTTCTTTCATTCTTTATTGTCAGCCTCGGACAAAAGATGGCACTGATAGCTTTGGTGGCCTCGGAGCAACTATGATAGATTCTTTGGATACACTCTATATAATGGGTCTAGATGAGCAGTTTCAGAAAGCCAGAGAGTGAGTGACTAACTGCAGGCTCTTCATAATAATGTGCCCTCTTTCTGCTTCACATTATCTGTTCATGATATTTTTCTTATCGTCTTATATTTGCAGGTGGGTTGCAAGCTCATTGGATTTCGACAAGGACTATGACGCCAGTATGTTTGAGACAACCATAAGGTTGCTTTAACAGGTTTACTGTGGTTGTTTTCTGTATATGTCATAGGAAGAGTCAGACCATTTGTGGATTATTAGTTAGTTCTTGATTGACATAAGATGTGGGGTACTGATTTATTGCATCTTCTTATGTTCTTTCTGTTAATATTCTTCCAGAGTTGTAGGAGGACTTCTCAGTACGTATGATCTTTCTGGAGACAAACTTTTCCTCGATAAGGCTAAGGATATCGCAGACAGATTATTACCTGCATGGAACACTCCAACGGGCATACCTTACAATATCATCAACTTGAGAAGTGGAAGTGCTCACAACCCTTCGTGGGCTGCGGGGGTGAGTCCTAGATTAGTTAAATCATCTTGATCCTTTTAAAGCCGTTAACACAGGCTCCATTTCTTATTCTTGTATGGCGATGGTTATAGATTTGATCGTAACTATACTTTTACTTATCTGTCTCGTTGGAATAAGTACCAAGTATGGTTGACTGTTTCATTGCCTACATTTGGTCGATCAGTTTTAGCTAACTGTTACATTTATGTTATGTACTAGGGAGCCAGTATCCTTGCAGACTCTGGCACTGAGCAGCTTGAATTTATTGCCCTTTCCCAGAGGACAGGGGACCCAAAATATCAGCAGAAGGTACATGTCTCTGTTACTTTCATGCCTGGTTTATAGATTAGATAATAAGAGATAGTATTTTTAAGTTTGTAAAGCACATTTATGTTATATCCCCTAAATAAGTGTAGAAAGAGGAGACAAATCTACATTAATATTGTTTCAGTGCTAAAGATTGATTCGTTTGTTAACTTGCGTCTCTCAGGTAGAGAAGGTTATAACAGAACTGAATAAGAACTTCCCTGCGGATGGTTTACTCCCTATCTATATAAATCCGGATAATGGCAATCCATCCTACTCCACCACGACCTTTGGTGCCATGGGAGATAGGTAATTTCCTCAACCAGATGTGACTTGGGTTCTCTGAGCTTGACTTTACTCTGTTAGAGTTGCTAATATTTTGGTTTTGTAGCTTTTACGAGTATTTGCTCAAAGTTTGGGTGCAAGGGAACAAAACATCAGAAGTGAAGCTCTACAGGTAAGTAAAGCTAGATGCTGTATTTCAGTATTAGCACAAATGATAAAGACTAACGTCTTTCTTGTGGCAATGAATCAGACAAATGTGGGAGAAATCAATGAAAGGTTTATTAAGCTTGATCAAGAAATCAACACCTTCATCATTTACATATATACGTGAGAAGAATGGAAATAATTTTATTGACAAGGTAAAGCCTATCAAATATCAACGCTTTACGTCGAGAGTTTTGCAGGTTTGACATTGTTTCTTCCTCGTAATATTCAGATGGATGAATTAGCATGCTTTGCTCCTGGAATGTTGGCTTTAGGAGCATCAGGTTATGGGCCTGATGAAGAGAAAAAGTTTCTTACACTTGCTGAAGAGGTACATCAGAATCTCAAATGTTCTTACAGCTTTTAGTGAAGTTTTTACTGTCTGCTTATTTCTCTCTTTCTCCTCCATTTCACTGCAGCTTGCCTGGACTTGTTATAACTTTTATCAATCAACACCAACGAAACTCGCTGGAGAGAATTATTTCTTCAATGCAGGACAGGTTAGTAAATAACATGTTTATTTTGCTTGGTTGGTTTGGTCCAACCCACGGACACATGATTGTTTCAGGACATGAGTGTTGGAACATCTTGGAACATCCTAAGACCAGAAACTGTTGAATCGCTCTTCTACCTCTGGCGTTTAACTGGGAACAAGACATATCAGGAGTGGGGATGGAATATATTTCAAGCATTTGAGAAGAATTCTCGTATAGAAACTGGATATGTAGGCTTGAAGGATGTAAGTTTCTTCTTTATCAAAAACCCATTTCCATATTTCAAAAAAAGTCCTTTTGCATCATCAACGTTTCCTTCTTCATTTCAGGTCAATACAGGTGCTAAAGACAACAAGATGCAAAGTTTCTTCTTAGCTGAGACTCTCAAGTATCTGTACCTTCTCTTTTCGCCTTCATCTGTTATTTCATTAGATGAGTGGGTTTTCAACACAGAAGCCCATCCGCTTAAGATAGTGGCACGGAATGATCAGCGTAAGCCAACTATAACATTACGACAGAGGCGGTTTGGTGGGATTAAGGGTTAATAGACAGTTACTGCTCAAATGGAGATTGATATATTATACAGTACAACAAAATTTGAGGCACATTGTTGTATTAGTTTGGATAATAGATAAAGAACAAGAGATGGACAACTTTTTTTGTAACACTGTTTACTTCTTCTGATTTTAAAAAAGAGCAATCAACTTTGACCACAAAGAATGAAAGCATGAAGAAGGCTTTGAGCAAAGTGAGCTTGGTCTGATGTACCTGAGACCACCACTAGTCCCTCTGTAGTCCCTGTCTTTGGATCATGCACAACAACGTTTGCACCTGTTACCTGTTCAATTTACAAACTACATTTAGATGATTCCTTTCCAAACCATCGTCCTTCTATCTATGCACGCATACATTTTCTGGATGAGTTACTACGTACCTGCTTGATGTAATTCAGGTTACTGCAGTTTTCACCGTAGACATGGCCTAGGTATGCTTGAGGAACCACAATCTCCACATTTGCGCTTGTCATTGGCAGATTCTCGTTGCCAATGGGCTCATTTCTCAAAGCAAACCCGTGGTTCACATCAGGAACCATACCACCGGGATGACCATCGATAGGTGGCTGATAATTAAAATATTAAGTCAGAGAAAAGTAGCCATTTGCGCTGTAACCAAGCTATCATATACATATTGTTATTACATACCTGTGGAGTCCAAGACATCGGGGAAGGTGGCCTGTCAAATCCAGGACCATGACAATGCCTCTCTGTATAATATGGAAAAAACATAAACATTATCAAGAGCTGAGATCAATGCATGTACAACTGTTGAACACGAGTTGGAATCTCCTAAAAAATACCATGGTATGGTCCTACTGGAGAATGGTAACGATCTGGAGAAGCTGGATAAGGCCTCGGTCCAAAAGGAGGAGGCGGTTCTGGATACGGACCCATGAACGGAGGAGGTGGACCACCCATTCCTGGAAAAGGAATTCTTCCAGGAAACATCGCTTCTCGAAGCCTACTTGTTATTTGGAACAAAGCATCTTGAACAGTCTTCACATTGCCAATGATCTGCCAATTCAGGAATATGTTGTCAATAACTGCAGAGTTGAAAAACTTATCTAGATGTATCTAATCACCTGCACAATCTCATCATGTTGAGATTCATACTTGGTAGCTTGATCTTTTGCAAAGACTCGGATGCTAGCACCAGTCGCTCTCCTCATTTCACTTATTACATGACCACCTTTCCCCAACAAACGTCCTATAAACGGTGAATGCACAAGAAGCCTGGCAACAACTGCAGCGGTAGGTTCAAATCCAATCTCAACGATTCTATTATGAACACACATCACAGCATCTTGAGCAAGAGAGTGCCGTCTCTCCAAGTTCTACAACAAACGTAAAAAAAAAAGCCAATAAATCAACCAATGCAACAATGCAAAAAAAAAAAACACAATTCCACAATACCTCTCGTGCAGATATCACAACAATCCTCTCCTCTGTCTCATGAGTCGGATCCGACACCTTAATCGATGCACCAGTCTCGTTCTGCAAAGCGCGAACAACAGCTCCACCTTTCCCTATCAAGCTTCCAACTTTATCAGCTGGACACAACAGCCTGAACGCTACCTCCTCTTCAACAATGGGCCTGTTAAATGGACCAACGTCTTCAGGCATCGGGTTAGGAGGATGATCCCACTGATGATGATACTCCATATAATCAGGAGGATAACCAGGCGGCGGAAATGAACACTCCTCCCATGTTGGAGGCGCACCACTCTCTTGAAGACAGTTAGTAACCATCAAAAGCGCCTTCTTTACACTCGAAAACTTCCCATTTATCTTCACACACAAAAAAAAAAGCCTAAATCAGTTAAAGACTCAAACTTTGGATAGCCATACATACAAGTTCATCATACCAACCAACGTTGGTCCAGTGGTAAAGGAGTGTCTAGTAGACACTCCGCCACTCGAGTTCAATTCTCGTTGAGAGTGATTATTTACAATATTTGTATTCCGGCAAAGAAATGAAAGATACAAAAAAAAATCATACCAAAATCAGTTAAAGACTCAAACTTTGAGTAGCCCTACAAGTTAAGCTGTTAGTCCAGTGGTGACGGAGTGTCTAGTAGGCACTCCTCCACTCTGGGATCAATTCTCGTTGGGAGAGGGAGAGACTATTTACAATGTTTGGTTCCCCACAAAAAATAAATAAAAAAGTTGTATAATCACCTCACCTGGATGACAAGATCACCAGGGAAAGCACAAGGAGGAATCTGATCAGTAGAAGCAATCCTAACACTAGTAGCTCCACTATCATCCCTAATCCTCTGCATCATCATCCCTCCTTGACTCATCAAGTAATCAACTTGATTCCCTCTCACTAAAACCCTACACAAACCTTCAAACTCCCCTTTCTCTAACTCACTACTACCCTCTGCATTCGCGGCCTCGTCACCAAACACTATCCTCTCCAAAACCCTAACCAATGCCGAAGACGACGGCGGCGGCGGCGGAGCTTCCTCGCCGGGGTTATCTGTCGTCTGATCCGAGGTAGGGTCCTCTGCATTCGATGATGATGATGGCTCGTCCTTCTTCTTCGCGGTTGGTGCGGTTATCAAGACTACGCGCTCTTCGGAAGGAACGGGGATGTCGTCGATGACGCGGATTTTGGAGCCGGTTAGGGATTGGAGGTGGCGGATTACGGAGCCGCCTTTTCCGATTATCGCGCCGGTTCGTGAGGCGGGGCATAGGAGGCGGAACTGTACTGACTCCGCCGTGGCTGTTGCCGGACGCTTGGAGGAGGATGAGAAATCCATTTCGTTTAGAGAAGGTTAACGGCGTCGTTTTTGAGTTTACAAATTAAATATAGTACTGTGGGAAGTGATTAGAGAAGGGACCTTAGGTTTGATGGATTTGTAGATATTACCTGTATGTTTGCTGAACTTTCGAAAATGACACAAAACTTTTTGAATTTGTTTTCTCATTGTATTTTCTTTCGGTTAGTTGAATCCGAAATTGGACTGAATCCCACACGACAAAACGTCAAAACCAAAATGGATCCAAACTGGTATTAAACATATATGAACAGTTATGTATTTTTCGGTTTGGGTACAATTTGAACCGAATCAGAAATCTAAGATAGAATTCAAAAATATCTAATATTAACTAAATCTATTAACTTTTTACATATTTTAAAGTAATTTAGAGATTTTATAGGTTAAAAGAAAAAAAATGAATACTTGTTAACAAGTTATAGTTTTAAATTAAACTAGATTTTTTATCCGCGCTTAAAAAGCACGTATACCATTTTTGTTGTTTTATCTACAGATGGATCGATAAGTTTTTTTCTATTTTGATGATATAAAATGTTCTTGTCTAATATAACTTTCTAAAATTATTGTAGATTTTAATTTATTATTATCATCAATATCTATGTAAATGTATTATATGTAATTGTGTAGTTTTATTTTAAAAAAATAATATCAATTAACTACGCTAAGAAGCGGGTCAAATTCGCTTTGCCCCACTCACCTGACCTGGAGAAAAAATAAATTTTATCCGTATCCGCCCCACTTAATTTTGCAGATAATCCGCGGGACCTGTGGATAATTATTAGTAATAAAAATATTTGAGAAATTAAATTTTTGAATAATTTATTTATTTGAGTGTTTTTAATCAGTTTCATTTGTTTTATAAAAGGAATTTTGGATTCAAATATTGGTTATAATCCAATGTAGAAATTAAAATGTCTACCTAAACCGAAAACCAAACCGGTCGTAAAGTCTAGCTGTGCCTTGTTCAAACGCAGAAGTAATGATTCTCCCTCCAACCAGAGAGATCTTTTAGTTACATAAGCCCTGTTCGGAAGAAAGACGCAGCGTCAGAGACCATTAAAACACAGACGACAGATAAATGAGCACGGATGAGAGAGAAAAAAGTGACGCTGGCGTTTAAAGTCGAGTTCAGATTTCTGGAATGGTGACGCTATTAATTCTGGCGTCCCAAAGTCTGTTACATCTAAAGCTTCGCTGGATCGCTGCGGCTAAATCCGGCGAACATTTCTTCAGTTCCACGTTTAAATTTTGATCGCTGACGCTGGTATCAGCGTTAACACACCGAACAGGGCTATACTAAACTAAACACACACGAAACCTCCTAAGGACCTCCTAACTAAACAGACACTCCATTTTTGGTCTGGTTTCTTTCTATGGTTTTCCATTCTCTAATCTTTGCCAAAGTCTCCTCCACCTTCATCATACGTGCCTCTAGAGTCAATGCTATCTCCTCCGTTGCAAGGTTTATCTGCTTCAAACTTTCATCACCATCTTCATGGAGTAAACACTTTGGTTCCTTGGTTCCATCACCAACCAGACTCCTCTTCTTCTTCTCAGAATTGATTCCAATTAAATCAACCTCATCATCACAGTTTTTCCTTGTCTCTGGTGGTGACACAACAGTTTCCACAAGAGTAGGATGTGAGGAGTTGTTCTCATTAGCTTCTTTGCTTCTGGTTTCTGTTTCTTCACTCTTTTGCTTGGTTACTAGTGGTGCTACAACAGTTTCATCTTCAGAAGCAAGCTTTTGAGGAACCCATGAATCATTTTTATCCACATCAAGTCTGCTTTTTCTTTTTCTTTTTCCAAGTGATTCAAAAGCATCTCCTCCACTTTTCTCTCTACATCTGATCTTCTCAGCATTGGTAACGTTATCATAACAACCCATATAGTTCTTATCATCATCCTTACGAGCTCGCTTGTTTCCCAAACGCTCACTTTTACCATTCACTAGTTTTTTCTCAAACAATTCACCAAGTGGCACTTCTCTTGATCCCCCACATTCTCCTATCTTGTATTTTCTTATCTCTGATCTCACACTTCTCCTTGTTCTAAGATATCTAGATCTTTTGAGTTTTTCAGGAAACCCACCTCCCAACTTTTGAACCACTTCACTTAGTGGCGGTACATTTGGAGGATCTGGAGAATAGTTTTCATCAGATGGGTACATATCCGTATTCTTCTTTCTAAGTCTCATTACTTGAGAAATGGTGTGTGAACATGAAGCAATAAAAAGGACTAGAGGAGAATAATTATTCGAATGGTGAAGGTTACAATTGGTTTAAGAAGGTTACAATTGGTTTAAAGAGGAGAAGACCGTTGGGGGTTCTGGACAAAGCAGGTGCAAGTGGGTTGAATTTTATATATTAAATCTCATGTCCTTGTAAGCCTGATTTGACTTTAAATACATGTTGTAAGCAACCTAAAAAGTCAAGGAAACTGTTTTCCTCAGAATTAAATTCTCTTGTGTAACTCTCTCTCTCCTCTCTTCTCTCTCTCACGAAAATACTACCTTCTCTCCTCTGTTCTTGTTGTTCTTCCTTCTTCTCAAACAAACCAGTCTCTAAATACTCACATTTCAACATGGTATCAGAGCCACAAGGCTTCTGAACCTACTCTTTACTTCCGCAAAAGCAAAATCTCTGTTCTTACTTCATTTCCTTCCAAGATTCACTCTATTATCCACTGGTNGATGGAAAAGAGGTGGTAGTGACTGATGAAGATAAATGGGGTCAGGAGGATCTCTTAGTGCTCTCAGTCATTCAAAACTCTCTGGATCCAGCTATCTTGGAAGCTTATTCGTATTGTGAGAGCTCCAAAGAATTATGGGAAACTCTTAGTAAGGTTTATGGAAACATCTCCAATCTAACTCGAGTTTTTGAAGTTAAAAAGGCTATTAATGCTCTCAGCCAGGCTGATATGGAGTTTCAAGCTCACTTTGGCAAGTTCAGATCTCTGTGGGCAGAGCTGGAGATGCTCAGACCTCCTACAGTAGACCCATCTACCCTGAATGCTAGGCGTGAAGAGGATAAGGTCTTTGGGTTGCTGCTTACCCTCAACCCAACATATAATGATCTTGTCAAACACATATTGAGGGCTGATAAGTTACCAACTCTGGATGAGGTCTGTGCTCAAATACAGAAGGAAGAAGGGTCCTTGGGACTATTTGGAAGCAAAGGAGAACTTGTAGTGGTCAATCAAGTGGAGGCAGCAGTGGCAAATAAGGGCGTGTACAAGCAAGATGAAAAGAAGGTTGTGGTGTGTGATCACTGAAAGAAGAAGGGTCACATGAAGGACAAATGCTGGATACTACACCCCCATTTGAAGCCAAACAAGTTCAGGGAACAAAGGAGCCAGTATCAAGATGCTAGAGCTCACCTCTCCACGGATGACATGGAACCAGGAACTTCTGGATACTCCTCAATGGGCTCCAACACTGGTATGGGAAGGGCAATGGCGAGTTCATCTTCTTACTCCACGGCTAGAACCCACCAGGATGAGAGCATCAAGAGGTCTGACTTAGAGGCTCTCATCAAAGCCTTAAAAGACCATTCTGGTATCTCTAAAACTCTTGGTATCTCACTAAATGCTTCATACATTGC